TCCTTCCGCCTCAGCCTTCCAAGCAGCTGGAACTACAGGCGCGCACTACCACACCTAGCTAACTTTTTTGATTTATTGTAGAGATGAGGTCTCGCCAAGTTGCCCGGGCGGGTCTCGAACACGCGGCTCAAGCAATTCACTCACCTCGGCCTCCCAAAGCATGGAATTATAGGTTGAGTCACCAAGCCCAGCGCATGAAGGATTTTCTATGTACTAGACACCGAGGGTACATACAGACATGGTTCAAGGACTCTTCCCACCCTCAAACAGATTTCCAGTCTTCTCCTCCCAGAAGAAATAAGACATTCGCACAGTTATTAATGCAAGCTGGAAGATAAAACTGCTATAAGAAGAGGTTCCAGCCTGGCTCAGTGACTCAGTCTATAATCCCAGCACTTTGGGAGGCCAAGGTGAGTGGATTGCCTGAGCCCGTGGGTTCAAGACCAGCCCAGGCAACTTTGTGAGACCCTGTCTCTACAATAAATTTTTTAAAAAATTAGCCAAGCGTGGTAGTGTGTGCCTATTGTTCCTGCTACCTGGAAGGCTGAGGCAATAGCCGGAGCCCAGCAGGTTGACACTGGGGTGGCTATGAATGTGCCACTGCACTCCAGCCTGGGCAACAGAGTGAGACTCCAACAAAAAAAAAAAAAAAAGAAGACGTTCCACAGAAATCATCAGTGGGAGTGCAGAGTGACAGAGAATAGCTAACGTTAGCTAGGCAGTATGTGACAGATGACTGTTACCTCACTTAAATCTCATCAGACTCTCCCAAAGAGAAGCACTATTAACCCCTTTTTACAGATATGAAAATTGATAGAATGTGGAACTCTTAGAAAGTGAAAAAGAAAAAAAAAAGAAAATTGAAGTTCAAAGAAGTTAAGAATCTTGATTGAGCTCATATAGTTGGTAGGAATTGCTACTTCTGTCTGATCTAAAAGCTAAGGTTTACTCTACCACAATGAGTGCCGACCACGTACTGAACAACTACTGTAATTCCACTGTGCCCAGGCACTGAGGGAAGCAATTTTAATAATAACAGCTACCTATTCTGGCCCCTTACTAAGTGTGTGTAAACACTGTACTAAATACTTTACAAGAATTAAAATGAATCCTCAAAACAACTGTTAATTAAATCATTATACCATTCTGTTTGTGAGGAAATTTGAGGTTCAGGAAACAATCTGGCCAAGTTTTTAAAAGGGTTCCGATTCCAACCCAAGTGAGTCTGATTCCAAATCTCGTGCTTTCAACTATGATATACAACAATGATTACGATCAATCCTTGGTCTCGAGGGGCTTTTAGTTAATTCATGACCACTTCCATCTGAGAGTGAGAACGCATACAGGAAGCGAGACCCGAGTCTGTGCTCGGAGAACGGCTAGACTTTAGACTGTCAAAGGCAAAGGACACTGTGGACAACAGCACAAGAAGTAGGAACCCTGAGAAAAGTTAAGACACTGAATTCTGACAACCTCGTGACCCTACTAGTCGTAACTCAGCGACTCTTAGGGCGTGTCTCCGGAAGGCAGCACTCCTACCTCGCCAGAGGCCCAGTTCAACCGGAAGTCCACTCACCGGACTCCCGCAGCAGCCCGGCGAGCTTCCACACCAGGGAATCCCGCGGAGCGGTCGTCATGGCCACAGGACGCTGGGGGCGGAGCCTGGAAAATAAGGAAGCGGAAGAGCCTCAGGTGGGGGGGTAGTGCCAAAAGCCCACGGCGTCCGCGCAAACCGAGGCGCCGTGTGGAAGAAAAGACAAGAGAGAGAAGCAAGGAAAAGCGGCCTTTCGAGGAACATAATCCCTGACTAGCCATACTGACCCTCCCGTTTGGCCCTCCTACCAGGTCTCCAGCCCCGCTCCTCTGAATGATGGACAGGAAGTCCCACCCCGGAAGGAAAACAAGCCGAGGGAGGGCCGGAAAGCACGTCTCTCCTGCCGGAAGCCACGCCCTAAGCCTGAAAACGTGTCGGATGGGGCGGGGCGGGTTGTTGTGGGCGGGGCGTCTCCTAGCGGGGCCCCCGGCCAGCCGCTGCCGCACACAGCTTGGGACTCCTGCTGGGCTTGCCACGACCCCACCGGGCCACTGAGGAAAGCCTGATTCGTTGTTTGCAGACTGGGCGGGGAAGCAAAGTTTGGAAAAATGGGGTTTTCTGTTAGTTACAGAAAAATTCGTCCAAAGTGTACACTCGTTTTCCAACTAAAGGAGAGCGTGTCCGCCGTAGGATGGCGTTATCTGTGGAAAAGGGCTGAGGCTGGCGAGGTCACCTCTGGGGTCCTTTGCCTCCTTTTCCTTATCTCCCTACAGACTCCTTTATCATTTTTCCTTCAGCAGTATCAGCTCTCACTTTACTAGTGGTAACGCTGCTCTGTTTTTGCTGTTTGCTCTCATGACACCCGGATGAAAAGTAGTTATCCCGGGTTGAAAAATGAGGAAGCAGGTTCTCAAAGGCCAGGTTGTTTGGGAAGGTCGTTCAATTAGTAACCCACAGCACCAACACTGCCGAAGTTTCCTGCTTCCAGGTTCTCATTGTAGCTTTCGCTGGCCGCTCGTCAAATACTGACGTCAGCCTCTGAACTAGATTAAGTAATGAAAAAATGTCTTTTAGAAGAATGTTTGGCTTTCAGGGAGGGTTTCTTTTATGAAGCACCTCTTTCCTACAGAGGAAAATAAAAATCATAAGCCAGTTGAGAGTAGAAATAGAGTCATAGTAATTTTTATCCTAAGTTGCCAAATGGGAAGGATCGTATTTTCTAAAGATGAAATATTTAAAATGATAATGTATGCCTCTGAACCACACAATCTTGTATTCATGGCATCTTATCTGTGCTCTGAGCCAAAAGCCTAAAAGATGGTTAAATGAAATAAGTGAAAGTACATCATGAAGAGTATTGGAGCTCAGAAAACGATACCCTAAAATATGCCTTTTGATTAAATAAATTTTGTTATGCTTTTCTCTTGCTAATATATATTATATATATATTTATATATATAAATATTTATTTTGGGGGCTGAGTTGGAGTCTCTATCGCCCAGGCTGGAGTGCAGTGGTACACTCAGGGGCACAGCAACCTCGACCTGCTGGTCTCAGGTGATCCTTCTGCTTCAGTCTTCCAGTTACTTGGAATATCAGTTACTTGATTTATTGTAGAGACAAGGTCTCGCCATGTTGCTCATATTGGTCTTGAACCCCTGGACTCAGGCAATCCTCTTGCCCTCGGCCTCTCAAAGTGCTGGGATTACAGACTTAAGCCACCAAGCCTGGCCTGCCTGTAGTTTGTTACAGGAGTGTTTGTGGATACCCTTATGATGGAGAAGAAAGATATTATACCTTTTCAGCACCTACAACAGCAGAGTAGCTAGAAATATAAAGTCAGAGTCGGGGCTGATTAATAATTCAGTATTAGCCAGGCTCGGTGGCTCAGCCTATAATCCCACGCCTTTGGGAGGCTGAGGTGAGTGGATTGCCTGAGCCCGCGGGTTCAAGACCCACCTGGGCAGCGAGACCTCATCTCTACAATAAATCAAAAAATCAGCTGGGCGTGGTAGCGCGCGCCTGTAATTCCGGCTCCTTGGAAGGCTGAGGCGGAAGGATCGCCGGAGCCCAGCAGGTCGAGGCTGCGGTGGCCGAGAGTGGCCACTGCACTCCAATCTGGGCAACAGAGTGAGACACCAACTCGGGAAAAAAAAAACAATTCAGTATTGTTGTTGAATTATTAATCCCATAACCTGATGGTTGTCAGTCCCTGTTTATTAAACAACTGGAACTAGGGAGGGCAGGTTCTCCCATACGTAACTGCTAACTCTTCTTCACTTAGACAAGAAACAGATTTCTTTTTTTAAGTTCCTGACATTGCAGTGCCTTGAAATCTGATTCAGAAGTGCTTTCTTGGCCCATAGTTATTTTCTGAGAATTGTTTCATTCATACAGGTAGCCCCTGTAGCCAGGATTGTTCTGTATCCCCTTGTTTCCCAGAAATGTGGAAGTGGGACAAAGGGAGAAGCAAAGAAAGCTGAAATACAGAGGGGGCTAAAAATTGATTTACTGAGAGAGGAGACTAAGTAGTTCTTGTTTCCATCCCCTCATGAGGCCCACTCTCCTTTCTCTCTTGGCCTGCAGGGGAGGCGTTGACTGTATTCCAAAGAATTCTTCCCCGCCTTTTTTTTCCTGGCCTGTTAGTTTGAATGTATAAGAATCTTGATTAAGACAAAACCTCTAAAAAAAAAAAAAACTAAAAAAAAAAAAAATAAGTCATAGCAGCCAAAAAGAAATCTATAGATATAGTATCTAGAACATTTTGGGAAATGTACCAGATCTATATGAAGAAAATAAGAGAACTTTAAAGGACATTAAAAATGACCTCATGGTAGCGCGCGCTTGTAATTCCGGCTACTCGGAAGGCTGAGGCGGAAGGATCGCAGAGCCCAGCAGGTCGAGGTTGTGGTGGCCGGGAGCGGCCACTGCACTCCAGTCTGGGCGACCGAGTGAGACTCCAACTCAAAAAAATAAAATAAAATAAAAATGACCTAAATAGGCCGGGCTCGGTGGCTCAGCCTGTAATCCCAGCACTTTGGGAGGCTGAGGGAAGTGGATTGCCCAAGCCCGCGGGTTCGAGACCCTCCCGGGCAAGTTGGTGAGACTTCATCTCTACAAAATAATCAAAAATTAGCCGGGCGTGGTAGCATGCACCTGTAGTTCTGGCTACTTGGAAGGCTGAGGCAGAAGGATTGCCAGAGCCCAGCAGTTCAAGGCTGCGGTGGCCGGGAATGTGCCATTGCACTCCCATCTGGGTGACAGAGTGAGACTCCAACAAAAAAAAAAAAAAAAATGACCTAAATAAGCCAGACATGACGGTACAATACTGTTGTCCCAACTACTCAGAAGGCTAAGATAGGCAGATCACTTGAGCCCAGGAGTTTGAAGCTGCCGCGAACTATGATCTTGCCTATGAATAGCCACCAGCAAGACCCTAAAAGAAAAAAAAAAAAGACTAACCAAAAAGATCATGTTTCTGATAGAAAGAGTCAATATTATAATCATGTCAATTTAATGCAATTTCAATAAAAATTCCATTGGGAATATTTTGACAAGTTGATTCTAAAACTCATCTAGAATCCTTGAATTATAGTAATGGGTTTTTTAGTTTTGTTTTTATTTTGTTTTAGTTGGGGTCTCACTCTGTCACCCAGATTGGAGTGCAGACACCATCACAGCTCACTGTAGCCTTGGCCTTCTGAGTTCAGATGTTCCTCCCACCTCAGCCTCCCCAGTAGCTGGGACTACAGGCATACACCACTACGCCCAGATAACTCTCTGTGTGTGTGTGTGTGTGTGTGTGTGTGTGTGTGTGTGTGTGTGTGTAGATGAGGTCTCAATATGTTGCCCAGGCTGGTCTCAAGTTCCTGGCCTCAGACAATCCTCCCATCTCGGCCTCCTAAGTGTTGGGATTACAGACATGAGCCACCATATCCGACCTTATAGTAACTCTTAAAAAAAGAAAATAAATAAAAAGCAAAATTCATCTGGGAGACTACACATATGAGCACAGCCAAGATATTTTGAGAGAGGGAAAATGAGAGGCACTATAAGTCATAGTAGTTGAAATGGCATAGTACTGACAAAAATTGGTAGGTCAATGAAGCACATTACAGAAACAACCATGATTACTTGGGGATATTTTTATTATACATGATAATGTTGACTTTAAATTAATGGGGTAAATTATAATTTATTCAATAGCTTTGGAGCAACTACCTGTTCATCTGGAAAAAGCAAAATTCCTTACCTTCAACACCATGCACATTAGGTTCCAGAAGGATTAAAGAGCTAAACGTTTTATTTAAAAAATTAAATCTAGCCGGGCTCGGTGGCTCAGCCTGTAATCCCGCGCCTTTGGGAAGCTGAGGTGAGTGGATTGCCTGAGCCCGCGGGTTCGAGA